CATCCCTAGGGCACAGGAATGGTCCTCTCAATTTACTGTCATTGACAAACACTGTCAGAATTGCCTCCTCTGGGTCATGGATAGAGTTGTTAAATTGCCTAGATCCCAGGAGATTTCCCTGTGCTTCCCCACAATGCCCCAGTATCTCCCACTGGCCTCCAGGTAGAGTATGACCCCTTCACCACAGCTCTCTGAGCCTGAGCCTCCAACTGGTGTTTCACCTCTCTGTCTGTTGACCCACCCAGACTGTAATGGCCTAACGTGGGTACGAGAATATTGTGGGAGATCATGGCCAGTGTCTTGCTGCATTGGAGGTACCTGACATCCACTGTTCTTATGTCACGCACAAAAACATTTACTTCATCCTGCAGGCAATCAGGTTAGCGGGGCATGATTTACCCTTGGAAAATACCTGCCAACTGAATTTGGACATTTTCTTCTCTTTTAGGTGCCCAGGAACGTCACCCAAGAGGACTCTAACTGATGGCACAATCCTCACCAAAGAGAGCTTGTACAGCCTGTGGTTCCCTGGGTGGCCCTTGTGGGCCCTTTCAAAGATGGCTGCAACATTGGCTTGTCCTCTCCCACAAGAAGCCTCTACCAATCCCATGACCTCTTAAAACGCATATGCCAAAAAAAATCCATATTCCAGTCTAACGTCATTGCCAATACCCTGCCTGGATTACCACGTACTTAATTTCTCTAATCTTTCATGAATTTGCACCTGGCCAGGATACAATGAACATTTCTCACGTCACCTTTTCAGATGCAGACTGCCGAGGCAAAGGCCCTTTCCATTATTCTCCAGTTTTTTCTTCCCTTATTGTTTGTACCTTCAGACAACTCTCACCTATGTTACTCTTTTGAACTTCAGGGAGTAAAAACTGTCAACAGCCTCATTGTCTCCTTAGTCAACACTTTAATTGTGCTTATATCTATCTTTGTGTATTTACCTACCTAAGGTATTTCTCCTGACAGTAGCCCTCGCATAAGGCAACCTCATTAGTGATATCTTGTATTTAGTATATGCTTCTGGATCAGTCTTTATTGATCAAGAAACTTTATCATACTTTAGATTTCTTTGTTTCCAAGGAACTAAAACCCTTCTGTGCCTGTGGGCAGCCAGTTCTCTAAGGACAGCAGTGGGAGGTGGTGCAAAGGACCTGTAAGATCCAGCTGCAGAGATCAGTGGAGAAGACTGATGTAAGGAGAAGTGATGCAAGTCCCAGGGGGCCAATGTGAGAAATGGTGAGACTGGGCAATGAGGATCCAGGTTGTCCATACTGTGTTGGACCCCAAGGGACTGTCCAGACCTCCCAAGGAGACACTGTGCATCAATATCAGAGACAGAATGTTGTTATCACCTCTTCTCTAAACTGAAATTAATATAATATGCTCTTTATAATGAAGAATCATTTTTATTAGATATATTTGGAAATGTTCCTCCTTAACTACATTCCAAAATGTATTCAATTAGCTGTAAAACTCTAAAGACTTCAAGAAAATAAGAGAAAAATGCATGGCTTGTTAGGACATTCTGTATTTTAATGAGCCCCATGTTGTGTTTGGCCCTGAGTCCATGAGCCTCAGATACTAAGAGGAGACTGAGCAAAATACTCAAGAAGTCAGAAGAAAACCCAAAGTACCTTGAAGCATTGATTGGCCCCACTGAGGGCCATTACTGACAAAGCCTCCCCATGGGCTCGTTAGAGCAGATAATTGGAGGCTGTGGCTGTAGGTAGGCAAAGGCACTGTGCAGGTGGCTGTAAGGCTGCAAAACCCCTTGGTTTGTTTTATGAAGCAGAAAGGCCAAGCCCTGACTTTCCAGGCATTGGGATGGCAGGTCCTGTTCCTCAGGGCTCTTCCTGGGGGCAGTGGGGTGTGAGGGTGAGCAATGTCATGTGTAGGGAAACTGCACAACACCCCCCAGCTTCCCCAATAAGGGGAGAGGACAAAACAAGTTTCAGAACCTGAAAATAAGGTTTATCTTGGTAGGCCTCAGCAACAGAGGCGACTACCATAGTCAAGGGGACAAAGAGCTTGTTCTTGTGTGGCCTTTCAGCCCTTCCAGAGCCCTTGGCCACCAATACTGCAGGCTTCTTTCTACTGTCCTCTTTATGCACCTTTTTCCCTTCAGGCTGTTCACATCCGTCTTGCTTTCCCACTGAGCTGTCACCCCAGCATTTCTGTACCTTCACTGAAGTCTCTCCACTCTCGCTGGCTGCTCCTTGAAAAACAATGCTGTGGGCTTTTTGAGAGTCCTTCTGGGCACCTCCTATGCCACAACACAACCCTTGTAGTGAGATTTCCTTCCCTCACATCCAGACTGAGCTTTCCAAGCTGAACTTTGTGGAGCTTTCCTTCTCTTCCCACTACCAAGAAAAGCTCCATCATCTCTGAAACCATCCTTCAAGCTGCAGGCATCTGCTACAGTGCTCTGAGCCTCCACTTTACCAGGCTAAGGAACCCCACGTCCCTCAGCCTCTCTACACAGGCACCAAATTCCATCCTCACAGATCTCCTTAGGACCTTTTCCATTTTCCCCTCCATTCCTCCAGAACAGGGAGCCCCACCCCCAGACACAGTAGCCCAGATGTGGCCACACCAGTGCTGAGTCAAGGGGCATGATAATTCCCTTGTCTGGTTGGCCACACTCCTCCTACCGCTCCCTGTGTGCACTTGGCCTTATTCATGCTGATCATGCCCCGCTGGCTCACATGGCATCCCTTGTAATGTCCAGGCTCTTCTCACGATGGTCAGTCCTGGGCTGGTCAGGTCCCAGCCTGCCCTCCTGTATGGGGTTATTCTCTCCCCAGTAAAGGACTGGCCACTTCGACTTGTAAAACTTCATGAGGTTTCTATCCCCAAATCCCAGAGATTCTCAAGGTGCCCCACGAGTGAATCTCCAATTGGCCAGATTTTAATATGTGCATACATGTGGCTCTCCCTGACATGTGATGCCTCAGACAAAATAATAGCATGAGGAATTGTAGGACACTAGAGATAAGAAAAGGAGGCCCCTGTGTTCAGTGGTATTGCAGACCAAGATAGGAATTTCCCTGGTGGTCAGCTCAGAAACACAAAAAGAGCTGTGAGGGAAGAGGAAGGTGGGAGATTTTCATGGATGGGTACAGGGATGGTCAAGGGGAAGTAACTAAGAGTGGGTAAAGAGGGAAAAAAAGAAAAGGTGAATCACAGGAAATGATCAGGGCTGTTTCAGGGTACCAGCCAAGCAACCCTGAATTTGAACTACAATGCCTGGAGAGGGACAAGGAAGCCACAGATCACCTGACCAAATGTTGTGGCTTCCTGTTAGAGAATGGCACAGAGACAAGGGTCCTGAGCCTACCGAGCAATTGTACGACCAGAGCCTGTTCTAAGGGCTGATGCTGCCTCGCTGATGCTGGGCCTCACTAGGGTTTGCCTGCAGCTGCTCGCAGCTGCTGATACATGAAGAATGTCAAGGACACTTCGGCCTTGTGTACTCGTGGTGTGTCGAAAACAGGTTGAGAGGAATTGGGAATAGTGGTCTGAGAAACCCAGTGTTATGGTAACGATGGTCTGAGAAACATTGTGTTATGGTACTGTTGTGTATCAAAAACAAGTCAAGAGGAATTAGAAATAGTAACATGAGAAACTTAGTGTTATGAGCAGCTTGTGCTGTTAGCTAACTGCAAGTAGGTGGACCGTGCGAATACGACCTTTAGAGCTTAAGCCAATCAGCTAGTGACTAGTAGGCATAATAATTAGCGTTGTCTAATTATTATAAAAATATAATAATTAGAGATAATAAGTATAAAAATATGTACCCTGGACTCAATAAGGACACAAGTAGATTGATGCTCTATCACCCACATTGAACCCGTCTCGGCATGTCGTTCTTCCGTGGCTCCGCAGCTTCCTTCAGTTGTCACCAGGAACCTGAGTGCTTTCCTTCCCATCATGAAGGCAAGATGTGTGGTGGAAGGAAATGTTGAATCATTTATGCTGGCAGCAACCTCAAGAGATTCCTAGGCCAAACTCTTGCTCAAAGCAGGGGCACCTATGGGCTCAGAACAAGTTGCTCAGGGCTTTATTCACTTTGAGCTTCAAAAGCTGCAAGAATGGAGATGACAGAAGCTCTCTGGGAAATCTGCTCCTGTGCATGACCGCCTTGATGGGGAGAAAGTTTTTCCTCCCTTGTTTCAGTTGATGCCCATTGGCCCTCATCATCCCATCAGGCACAACAGTGAAGAGCCTGGCTCCATTCTCTTTCTGATATCAAGAACATACAGGAAGGCTGTTATTAGGTCTTCTCATCACCTTCTCCTCTCCCAGCTTTGCACTTTTGCAGTAAGGAAGGCCAACGACATCCTGGGCTGCATTCGGAGGAGCACTGCCAGCAAGTTGGGGGAGGTGATCCTTCTTCTCTGTTCAGCACGGCTATGATTTGTTGTGCTCAATTCCCTCAGGGTTTTCAACCCCACCAACTTCACTCACACTGTAGTCAAAGCTGCCCTCCACATCTTCCACCAGTCCCGCCCTGTCTTCTTGTGAAAAACTCTTCCAGGAGAGCATTCCCCCATGTCAGGTCAGGGATTACCTTCTGCTTTCCCTTTGAACGAGGCATTCTAGCAGAGGTCCATGTTCTCTAGCAGGGTGTGAGGTTATCCTGACCGGACGACCGTTGCATATTGAGGAGCTGGAGATCAACATAACAGTAAACTTGAGTAGACCCATGGACAATTCCCATGGGAGCGCCCTCTTTTTCAGTCACTACAAATGATGACGCGAAGACTTTTCCTTGTAAGAAAACACTGAAAGAGCTCCTATCTTCCACCTTGTTGGGTACAGTGTTGCAATGGCTTTTAAGACCTCCAAGCAGCTGTCTCCCCACTGCTGGCCGGGCAGAAGGGACCTGGCAGCTAGCACACGAGAGGACACCATGTGCTACTGTGCTGCAGAGGCCCCTGCTCAGCCACCCCAGCAGTGCTGGAGGCAGGCGATACCTGAGAGAATGTCTACAGCCACGAGAAACCTGAGGGCAATGTAAGGATGGTGTTAATGGTGTAAAGGTAGGATGTTGCTGTCATGCCCAGTGAGCCAAGGAGCATAATAGATGAGGCCATGAAGGTGATCAGCTCAACAATCAGTGTTTCTGCACAGGACAGCTTGATCAAAAGCACACTGTCACAGAAGACGTGGTCCACACGACTGGCATTGCAGAAGGGCACCCTGGCAGCCAGGACAGTGGAGGCAATGGTGGCTAGGAATCCCGAAGTCCACAAGCCCAATGGTAGCTGAAAACAAAGGTGACTGCTCATGAGCATGGAGTACTGAAGAGGGTGACACAAGGCCATAGAACAGTCATAGGACATGACAGCCAGAAGGACAAACTCGAGGTAGCCCAGAGGAGAGTAGAAGTAGCACTGAGTTCAGCAGCTTGGATAGGAAGTGGCTTTGCTGCCCATCAGCAAGTTTCCTCTGGCTTTGGATATGACGGATGTCGTGATGAAGATCTCCAGACAGGAGAGGTTACAGAGGAAAAGGTACCTGGGCCCGTAGAGGTCTCTTTCAGCGAGGATGAGGGAAACAATCAGCAAGTTTCCCCCTAAGATCACCAGGACACAAAGCCAGGAGAGTAATTGCCATTAGGTGTTCCTGATGTTAGAGGGAGGAGTAGCCAAAGAGAAGGAACTCTGTGACGGTCATATGGTTCAACATCTCAGCATCCGAGCTGCAATAAGTGAGGGCAGATGGTCATCATGGGAAAGAGCTTCAGGAGGTTAAAAGAAGATGAGACAGAACAAAACAGTGTAGAAGGATAAGACATTCATACAAAGATTGAAAGGAGAACAAAAGAGAGGAGGGGAGAATTAGCCTAGCGCAAGAAGGCATCATTTTATGCACTAAGAGCAAACGTAGTATGGGGGCTAGAGTAGGAATCCACTGTAAACTGTATGTAAGTTCTTGTATTTGAGCTCTTTCCCCAAGAGTCACTTCACAGTCAATGGAGAAAAAATAGGGATTTCTCACTTGTTTTTACTGTAGCTTATTTAAACATGTATTTTAGGCTGATCAAAAATGTATTGTAGTGAAAGGGAAAACACGTCAGTGAAGTGGCTTTAGCTTTTTGATTAGGTCAGAAACAGGGAGAAGGCGGCATGAAGACTGTTGACAAATGCAGAAGTGTGTGGGAAGTAAAGGCAAGCAGGAGAGTTAGAGAAGAGGGAAGATTTATTCCCTGGAAAGGGTTTGATTTACCAAGGAACACCAAAGCCCAACAGAGAAAAGAAAAACATGCTGTGTTTAAAATTGTTCTGTTTTTAAGCATGTCTTTCCATCCACGGTTGACCTTTGCCAGGTAGAACAGAAAAATTATAAAGAATCTTCCTCAGTCAGTGACAACTTTCTTGCTGAAAACCAGTCTGATAAAACATTCTCGCTGTCAGAGGGAAAAATAAGAATTAAAAAGCAAAATAGGAGAGGAAACAAGAGGAAAAATCTAAGGGTGCCATTTTTTCAGGAGCCTCAACTTTACCTTCTCATCCCTGAGTGTTACATCCCTGGCCAGCTCTTCTTTGTAAAGATGAAGTCCCACAGGGCACTTCACCTCACAGGTTTCTCAGTCACCCTTATCAGGCAGGTGTTCCTAATGCGCTCCAAAACCCGCCTGCATGGCTTGCACCTCACTAGTATTGCTTTTAATGCTTGCATGCAGCTGGTTCATCTTGACTGGGGCGTCTCTCACAAGAGAACAGTACGAGGAGTTGCAGGGCACTGCCAATACCCCTCCTGGAGGAACTGTGGCTTCTTGGGGGTCTGGTACTGATAAAGCCGTGGGTCTGGACCCAGAGGGGAAGCAGCCCTTTGGGAGGGAGCTGCAGGAACGCATTTAGCTCTGCCTGGGGATGGACAATGAGTCATCTGGGAGCTGAGGGGTCAACAGGAGAGGGGAGAACATCATGGGCACCACTGCGGTGGGTGGATGTCTGCTACAGATCTCCTGATCAGGAAGAGGAAGTAGATGAGGCCTTCTTCAGACACCTCCTCTCTGCTGACATCCCACCTGATCCGTGCAGCAGTCGAGTCTCATTGCCAGCCCTTCCCACCCTGGGAGCTTGGGAGGTATTGTACAGTAGTCATGCTCTTGTTATTGCTCATCCCCATAGAATACTACCCCAGGAAGAGTCCTGAGCAATGTGAGAGGGACAGGATCTCCCATCCCAGGGGCTGGAGGTGAGCAGTTTGCCCTTTCTCTTAACATAACACATCCATGTTCACACAGAACATCTTCCTTTCAATGGCATTTGTCTACCGTCATAATTTTCTCCAGTTTTCTGCTCTAACCAGCCCCTTGGGAGCTTTTGTCAATAGCATCCTCAGTGGGAGCAATTAACAGTGCAGGAAACTTTGGAGTTTAGTATCTGATACTGACTCCTTGAGAGGTTTCATCAACTACCTCTCAGTGCCTGAGGTTGATGGACTTGTCTCCAACCCCTCCTGAGGGGTCATTAAACTGCCTTGGGCTGTTGCTGTGGTGCTGAGCTGGGCCGGGCTCCTGGGCCGGAGGGAGCTCCTGGCAAGTGGGCAGCGCTGCAGAGAGACAGCTCTGCCCAGGAGCAGCTCCTCTGCAAAGCGCAGCAGGGCTGAGGGCACTGCCTGCAGGCACCCAGGGCAGAGCAGCGAGGCACACACAGCTTCAAGGCAGCCTGGGCTGGGAGGCTGCTGAGAGCTCCGAGGAGGAGAAAGCGTCAGGGCCCTGGCCACAGTAAGTCTGGGGGTGCAGGGCAATGCAGCTGCAGCTCGGGGAGGGATCTGGGGAAGGCGGCAGAGCTGCCAGGAATCTGCCTCCTGCCTAGAGGAGGAGGAGGAGGAGGAGGAGGAGGAGGAGTAGCTGCTCCCGAGCAGGGCTTCCCTGGTGCCCCCTGCGAGGGCCAGGGCATGAGGGCTGCCTTCTGGCGGGGCCGGCTGCAGGGGTGTGCAGCCAGGGTGTGCAGGCAGGGGTGCCCAGGGCTGTCCTTCCCAGCAGGGTCCCTGCACCCCAGGGGGCTGTGTGCTGGGGCAGGGACTCTGCCGCCTGCCAGGGTCAGCACTCAGCCTGCCCGGGGAGCTCCCCACGGCGCTGTGGGGAGAAGCTGTGGGGGGAAGGAGAGACCCCCGCCAGGGCAGGCTCCTTCTGCTCTCCAGAGGCTGCTGCGTGGATCAGGGATGCTCACAGCTCCAGATCACTCTGAGGACTTTTGCAGAGGTTCTTTCTGAAGAAGGATATCAAGGCTGCTTTTACTTGAAATGCAAAGACCTTTTCTTTGAGATTTCTTTTTTTGGTTAGCTGGGTGGGCATTGCTAGATTTTTTTCTCCACTCTAGTTGAATAACTCAGATCTCAGTTGTCTTTAGGATTCTCAGTCGCTCCTGAGCCCCTGCACCTAGACTGCTGCCCCTGGGCAGTGTCCTGCTGCCAGGAGGGGTCCGCAGGGAAGAGCTGAGCACAGGGCGGGTGGGGATGGGGGCTGGCAGCACTGACAGGGAGGAGATAAGGGGACAGCGAATCGGCTCCAGGCAGGGACAGCTCCAGGCACCAGAGTTATGGACATGAAGGGAGAGGGAGTTGCTGCCAGGAACGCTGTGGGAGGGGGGATTCGGGCACCTCCTTGCCATTCCCTGCAGTGCAGATGCCTTCCATGGAGCAACCCCCTGTCCAACACAGCCTCTGCCCTCAAGGTCATGGGGCACCTTGCCTAGCGGCCTCACCCTTGAAGAGGAGAAACTACCCAATACCCAACTGCCTGTCCCTTTCTGTCTCCAAGAACACGAGCAGTGTGGTATTTCTTCATTTCCTCCTCCTGTATCTGCTCCCCTTACTGTCATCCCTGGACTTGCTGGGATGGGGGGTGGTGGGGTTAAGCTGCAGTTTTGAGCCCAACCCTGTGGGTCCTGCTGTGCAGATGTGTCCATGGGAGTAAAGTCTCCTCATAATCTGTGGGTAAAACAAAGGACCCAATTCTCTCTTCAGGACACCTCCATTTTAGGACATTCAACTCTTGCTCTGAGGGGCTCATGTTGGGCTGCAGGTTTCTCTCCAGGTGGGCACAGCTTTCCCAGGACATCTCTGTGTTATCCAGCAGCCCCAGGGAGGAAACACCTCAGTGCTAAGGCCATGGAAATGCTGCTGGGTGTCTGCACACAGGCAGCTGCAATGAGCCCTCTGTGTCCCTGGCTGGGAGGGGAGAGCTGAGATCCTCCTCAGGTGTGATGAGAGGGGCTGAGGGCTTTGGAGAGCTGTGCTTGGAAACTGGATTCCTCTAGTTCCAGCAGTGCCCTGTTTCCATCATCCAGCTCAAAACTGGTGTCAGCAAAGGGCAGATGAGACCAGGGCTGATGGACAGAGCAACTCTCCTCACTCTGAATTTCAGGACAGCCCCTTGGTCTCTCAAAACATACAATGTTTCAGTAGGAGTTCAGCAGAAATGCCATAAATTTCTGCCTTAAAACCACTCCTCATGTGTAGTGGTGCAACAAAAACGGTTTAAAAAATCCAATATCCCCACAGCTATGCCTTGCAGTAAGGTGAATTGGGAGCAAAAATGCTGAACATGAGTGGATTTAATCTGTGATCACCCATGTTCCGATTTATCTATGGCTGTCTGGCAGGACTGACTCCTCCAGAGATCATAGCAGAGCCAGAGGACTTGGTTAAAAGGGAGAGGCAGTCACTGAGAGATATGAAGTAGGTTTTATCTCAGACAAGTCTACACTAACATTTCAATGTCTTTTCCTCCATGGACAGTGCCCAATGACCAGTGGAAGCAATTTTTCAACAGTAGCTCCATCACCGAGTTCCTCCTCCTGGCATTTGCAGACAGACGGGAGCTGCAGCTCCTGCACTTCTGGCTCTTCCTGGACATCTACCTGGCTGCCCTCCTGGGAAACGGCCTCATCATCACCGCCATCACCTGCGACCACCACCTCCACACCCCCATGTACTTCTTCCTCCTCAACCTCTCCCTCCTCGACCTGGGCTCCATCTCCACCACTCTCCCCAAAGCCATGGCCAATGCCCTCTGGGACACCAGGGACATTTCCTACCCAGGATGTGCCTGCACAGGTGTTTTTTTCTTTTTCTTTGCTACAGCAGAGGTTTCTCTTCTCACCATCATGGCCTATGACCGCTACGTTGCCATCTGCCAACCCCTGCACTACGGGACCCTCCTGGGCAGCAGAGCTTGTGTCCACATGGCAGCAGCTGCCTGGGGCACTGGATTTCTCAATTCTCTCCTGCACACTGCCAACACATTTTC